TTTCTTTCTGTTTTTAGTAGAGACGGGGTCTCGCTCTTGCTCAGGCTGGTCTCGAACTCCTGACTCAAGCGATCCTCCTCCTGGCCTCCAGAGTGCTGGATTACAGGCGTGAGCCACCAGCACCGCCCTTTCTAAGACATTTACACGACAGTTAGACTCAATGGTGTATTAGCAAGCGTATACACAGCTCAGTGGAAATGACAGGGACACCTGTGACTGCCACACTCGGGCAATGGTGTCTGCATCGTAACTGCCACTTGGCAACAGAAACTATACAACCATATCCGTCACAGATACATCCTGATCTCGGACATGTTAAAGTATGAAAAAATGAGCATCTTGGAATGGATGAATTGTGGAAATAGCTACAATCTCGTGAGAACTGACAATATCTGCAAAGTACTAAACCCTTGATAAGAATTAATTGTCAGTCAGATGTCACAGTAATCCAGAAAGCAGTGCAGATTAAGAAGTTTAGCTAGATTAATACAATTTCCCCAGATCACCCAGCTAGGTAAATTTCAGAGCAAGGATTTGCATTCGGATCCGGACAATAGGATCTTCCCCCCCCCTGCCAGTTCTGTGGTTCTACGGCAGTACAAATTGTATGTGCCTGTCAGCTGTAGACTGGTATTTGATTCTGTTTACTTTCAAAACACGAAGCATTGGCTGGGCACGGTGGCTCACGCCTGTAATCCTAGCACTCTGGGAGGCCGAGGCGGGCAGATAGTTTGAGCTTAGGAGTTCAAGACCAGCCTGAGCAAGAGCAAGACCTGTCTCACTTAAAATAGAAAGAAATTAATTGGCCAGCTAAAAAATATATAGAAAAAAAATCACCGGGCATGGTGGCTCATGCCTGTAGTCCCAGCTACTCGGGAGGCTGAGGCAGGAGGACACTTGAGCCCAGGAGTTGAGGTTGCTGTGAGCTAGCTGAGCAGCACTCACTCTAGCTCGGCAACAGACTGAGACTCTGTCTCAAAAAAAAAAAAAAAAAGAAAGAAAAAGAAAACATGAAGTGTCACTCAAATAGGCCTTCAATGGGTTATTTAAAATAGCTCAGTCACGTAGGATTTTATAAGAATTTGTAATTAGTGCATCCATTATATGCAAAAGCCACTTTTTATCGGGGCTCATTGGCATGATTTCTGCCTCACAACAGTTTTGGAAGCTGGCAGGGCTACCTGTAGCTACCTTTACCCCACGGTGCAATTCGTTAAATTATCACACATTTCCTGACCAAAACCTTAGCCTTTGAGCTGAACCAACTTGCTCAGTTGGCAATGGAAGGAGAGTGCGTTCATGCAAAATATGGCCTAGATCAGCTCAAACCTTGGTCTTCTGAGCTTTGGCACGTTCTTTTGCTACTTCTTCTATTGCACCAACAACTTGCCTTTCACACAGAGTTTGGTTCTTGTTTTGTTTTGTAACGTGCACGGTGAATGGATCGAGACAAAGGTGTTTTTGTTAAAAACCATAAAAGCTGCTTTACTCTCCCAGTGCTGGAGATAGGCAATGGATGACATTTTTAAGCCGGAAGTCCCCAGCTCTGCCGTTGACCTCTCAGGCACAAGGAGGCCTTTCAGACCAGCTCAGAGGTAGAGCATGGAAGCCACCAAAGTGGCCTCTAGAGAGCAGTGAGGCTGAGTCAAGTCCCGTGGCTTCGTGGCCAGGGTGATTCGTTTCCACAAACAATTAAATATGAATCTGGGAGGAGCCTCGTATTTATTCAGTGCTGTGGGCGCAAAACCCAAAAGACCAGGAGTTGAAAGTGTGACTGAGCATGATTGAAATAACTATCAGCAAGAAAAATTACCGACAGTTGAAGATGACCAGCCTCAACCCTGATCGTGTAGACACCGTGACAGCCTTCGTAAATTTGCGTTCCAGCAAATTCCAGCGTAGAGATTGCTTTTAAGAGAACGCAATGGGCATCTTTTAAAAAATGGTCTCCACACGCCTGTGATCCTAGCACTGCCTCCTCTGGAGGCTGAAGGCGGCGGATTGCTCAAGGTCAGGAGTTTGAAACTAGCCTGAGCAAGAGCGAGACCCGTCTCTACTATAAATGGAAAGAAATTAATTGGCCAACTAATATATATAGAATAAATAAATAGCCAGGCATGGTGGCATGCCTGTAGTCCCAGCTACTCGGAGGTGAGGCGGAGGATTGCTTGAGCCCAGGAGTGAGGTTGCTGTGAGCTAGGCTGACCCATGGCACTCACTTTAGCCTGGGCAACAAAGTGAGACTCTGCCTCAAAAAATAAATAAAAAAAATAAAAAATAAAAAAAATGAAATGGTCTCCACTGGTTGGCAAGTGTATCGCGTGAGTACCTGCATGTGAAAAAGGGGGGGAATGCTAGGGCCAAGCAAACGAGTTCTGAGTCCAACGAGTCTGATAAGGACTGATGAACAGTCCTGCAGAGCCCTAGCCCTTTTCTGATGTCTGCGCTGGTTTGTCTCAGCTGTAAAGTGGCGTCCCACTATGGCCTGACCGAAGACAGGAAGAGCGCCCGGGAGACGGCTGTGGGGATGGCCACGTGAGCCTCACGGCCACGGCGCTGTCCCCGGAGACTCTGCAGCCGCCACCATCTCCCTCATGACGGACGAGCCTGCCTGGACAACCCCGCTACGTGCCCACGGCGAGGACAGCCCGCCGCTCACTGCCTGAATGACTCTGGCCGGAGCAGCGCGGCTCGGGTGAGTCAGACAGGCGGTTGCCCGGAATGGCTCCCTGCCTCGGATTGCCCCCTGTGAGTACTTAGCCTGGTGGAAAGTTCTAGAAATGTTTGTCAAGGCGAGATCGTTCTGGTAGTTTTGGCAGCAGCCCAAGGTCCAATCCTCCAAAGTGAAACGAAACCACAAGTACCTCAGCTCGTTAAGACTGTGTATGATCCGAGTTGGCGACAGGGGGTTGGCGGCTAGACCCGGTGACTCATCACTCCTGCAGAGCGGTAACTTCGTGGCCAATACCGCCCGAGAGAATTGCTGTCTATTCAGTTCAGCCCAGGGGGGGAAAAAAATCAGACTTTTTAAACAACTACACAATTTCCATTGCAGAAAACTTAGAAAATATAGGCGAGCAAATTCTGCAATCACGCCACCCAGAGGTGTGACCGCTGTTCACGTTCTATCGTATGTCTTATCAGACCTGTACCTAGAAGATGACTTCTGCTAACACGTAGCTACTGTACCCCGTCTCTCTCCTCCCCAGCACGCCCTTCGAGAGAGCTCAGCAGAAGCAATCTTTCAAAAAATAAATCGGCGCTTAGCGTCCTTCGAAGAACCAAAGAGTGGGAGTGCGTTGCCAACCAGGCTACCAAGAACAGGGAAAATTCCTCACAATCCGGCCACCCCCGAAGGTAAATGAGCCCCGCCAACGGGGCCCGGGTGGGCTGGGCTCAGGGGGACTGTCCTCAGGGTGATGACGACTCCAGGGGTGAATGACTGCCTTCCCCAGGGGTGATGACCACCACCACCTTCTGAGACACCCTCTCTCCACGATAGAATAATATATATCATAATCTCTCCATCCTCCTGCCTCAGCCTCCAGAGTAGCTGGGACTACAGGCATGGATCACCATGCCCACCTAATTCTTTCTATGCATTTTTAGTTGGTCAATTAATTTCTTTCTGTTTTTAGTAGAGACGGGGTCTCGCTCTTGCTGAGGCTGGTCTAGAACTCCTAACCTCAAGCGATCCTCCTGCCTGGGCCTACCAGAGTGCTAGGATTACAGGCGTGAGCCACCACGCCTGGCCCTTTTCTAAGACATTTACACGACAGTTAGACTCAATGGTGTATTAGCAAGCGTATACACAGCTCAGTGGAAATGACAGGGACACCTCTGACTGCCACACTCGGGCAATGGTGTCTGCATCGTAACTGCCACTTGGCAACAGAAACTATACAACCATATCCGTCACAGATACATCCTGATCTTGGACATGTTAAAGTATGAAAAAATGAGCATCTTGGAATGGATGAATTGTGGAAATAGCTACAATCTCGTGAGAACTGACAATATCTGCAAAGTACTAAACCCTTGATAAGAATTGTCAGTCAGATGTCACAGTAATCCAGAAAGCATGTGCAGATTAAGAAGTTTAGCTAGATTAATACAATTTCCCCAGATCACCCAGCTAGGTAAATTTCAGAGCAAGGATTCGCATTTGGATCTGGACAACAGGATCTTCCCTCCCCCGCCAGTTCTGTGGTTCTATGGGCAGTACAAATTGTATGTGCCTGTCAGCTGTAGACTGGTATTTGATTCTGTTTACTTTCGAAAACACGAAGCATTGGCTGGGCACGGTGGCTCACGCCTGTAATCCTAGCACTCTGGGAAGCCGAGGCGGGCAGATAGTTTGAGCTTAGGAGTTCAAGACCAGCCTGAGCAAGAGCAAGACCCTGTCTCTACTAAAAATAGAAAGAAATTAATTGGCCAGCTAAAAAATATATAGAAAAAAAATCAGCCGGGCATGGTGGCTCATGCCTGTAGTCCCAGCTACTCGGGAGGCTGAGGCAGGAGGATGGCTTGAGCCCAGGAGTTTGAGGTTGCTGTGAGCGAGGCTGATGCCATGGCACTCACTCTAGCCCAGGCAACAGACTGAGACTCTGTCTCAAAAAAAAAAAAAAGAAAGAAAGAAAAAGAAAACATGAAGTGTCACTCAAATAGGCCTTCAATGGGTTATTTAAAATAGCTCAGTCACGTAGGATTTTATAAGAATTTGTAATTAGTGCATCCATTATATGCAAATAGCCACTTTTTATCGGGGCTCATTGGCATGATTTCTGCCTTCACAACAGTTTTGGAAGCTGGCAGGGCTACCTGTAGCTACCTTTACCCCACGATGAAATTCGTTAAATTATCATCACAATTTCCTGACCAAAACCTTAGCCTTTGAGCTGAACCAACTTGCTCAGTTGGCAATGGAAGTAGAGTGCGTTCATGGCAAAATATGGGCCTAGATCAGCTCAAACCTTGGTCTTCTGAGCTTTGGGCACGTTCTTTTGCTACTTCTCTGTATTGCACCAACAACTTGCCTTTCACACAGAGTTTGGTTCTTGTTTTGTTTTGTAACGTGCACGGTGAATGGATCGAGACAAAGGTGTTTTTGTTAAAAACCATAAAAGCTGCTTTACTCTCCCAGTGCTGGAAGATATGGCAATGGATGACATTTTTAAGGGCCCGGAAGTCCCCAGCCTCTGCCGTTGACCTCTCAGGCACAAGGGAGGCCCTTTCAGACCAGCCCAGAGGTAGAGCATGGAAGCCACCAAAGTGGCCTCTAGAGAGCAGTGAGGCTGAGTCAAGTCCCGTGGCTTCGTGGCCAGGGTGATTTCGTTTCCACAAACAATTAAATATGGAATCTGGGAGGAGCCTCATATTTATTTTCAGTGCTGTGGGCGCAAAACCCAAAAGACCAGGAGTTGAAAGTGTGACTGAGCATGATTGAAATAACTATCAGCAAGAAAGAATTACCTGACAGTTGAAGATGACCAGCCTCAACCCCTGATCGTGTAGACACCGTGACAGCCTTCGTAAATTTGCGTTCCAGCAAATTCCAGCGTAGAGATTGCTTTTAAGAGAACGCAATGGGCATCTTTTAAAAATGGTCTCCACACGCCTGTGATCCTAGCACTCCAGGCCGAACCGTAGGCTTAGAATCATGCAACGGAATTCATGGATCCTCAGATTCACAAGTATAGTCTTTCCCTGACAGATGAACCAGCTGAGAAAATATCCCCCTTTTTCTCACTTTTATATTGCCAGGCAACTATTAGAAAATTATAGCATATAGAATTATGCATTAGAATTATAGCATAGAATTCAATTGACATTAGATATAATTATCGCAAGAATTAATGCATATAGAAAATATCGCCAATTAGAATGTATTGCATTAGAAATAATGCATAGAATTATGCATCTACGAATCTCAGGCATCTAGAATTATGCCATCTAGAATCTGCAAATGCAGTCTAGAATTATATGTCATAGAAATATGCATTAGAACTTAATGCATTAGAATATGCATTAGAATATATGCCATTAGAATTATGCACTTAGAATTATGCATTAAGACATTATTCATAGAATGAGCCATTATGACCATTTACCGCATTAAATTTATTGCATCGTAGTCACCATAATTTTTTTTCGACGTGCATTGGACGCATGTTTTCTGGAATGCAAATGGTACGGCAACCTGCTTGTGTGTGCAGAGGGCTTGGAGTGGGGAGAGAGGATTTCCTTAGACGCAGCAGGGAGCAAAACTCCATAGTCGGCGCGACGGGGTTTAAGGCTCCGCTAGCTGGGTATGGAGTCTTTACACGCCATTGGTTGAGGGCCAACAAGGCTCTTCATTGCAACATCGGAAAATGCCCTTGGGGTCTCTCAGTGCTCAGTCACCCTGCAGTGTTGATAACGCCACGGCATGAGCGTACCCATCAACTAGGTCGTAATACATGAGCTGCCCTAGTGTTTTATCATCGCGCTGAGCTGGACGGGTATCTTAACCCACAAGCTTCAAAGTCTCAATCCTAAAAACACGGGAGGCCTGGCGCGGTGGCTCCACAGCCTGTAACCCTCTCTAACACTGTTTGAGAGGCCGAAGGCGGAGGATCGCGAGCTCACGGATTCGACGACCTAGCCTGGGCAGAGCGACGACCCCCGCGTCTCTACTAAAAAGAAAGAAATTAATTGCCCAGCGAAAAATATATTAGAAAAATAGCCGGGCCGTTGTGGCTATATCTCCTTTGTGCCTGTAGTCCCAGCCTACTCGGCCCGAGCTGAGCAGGAGCATTGCTGAGCCCAGGAGATTGGAGGTTGACTGTGAGCTAGGCTGATGCCATGGCACTCTAGCCCATGGCAACACAGTGAGACTCTGCTCAAAAAAATAAATAAATGAAAACATGGGGATCTCAATAATCGTACTCAGCCCGGTCCTCAAAACTCACGGCCCCGCACGGCTGTTTTTGACCTATTGTTTTTTTTACCTCTAAAATCATGTCAATTGCAGAAGAATATCTTGTCATAGTCTCTTTAAAACTATAGCCCGTGCCCTCCAACGTCTGAGGACAGTGAACAGGCCCCTTGTCCAAAAAGTTTGAGACCTTGGTAATACCTTTATAGTGGTTATTTGACGGCACAAACAAAAAAACACAGTCCAAATTGGCTATAGTGCAATAACCCAATATAATATATAAAAGTCTCCGTAAACTACATGATAATCGTTATACCTTTGAGTTTCTTTGAGTGAGACATAATATGATACAAATCTTTTCTCTTCTGCTAGACCCCAATACAAGGTTGGCAGTTTAAAACCGCCCTGCTTAATTTCTCAAGGTTACTAGAATCCTGTAAAATTGCCGTGGCTGCTATAATTATAACACATCCCATTTATAGTTGAGTGGGTGTATCCATTCCAGTATCAGACATCCTTGAGTGGTTTAGGTTTGGGGGCAGGTTTTGTAAATCTGTTGGGAAAGTTGGGGGAAGCAGGGAAAATCAGCTTTCATGATTGTTTCCAAATCTTTCTTTGTTCAAAATGATTTCTTTTTACATTTCCACCTGGGCTCAGTGTCTCATGCCTGTCATCCTAGCACTCTGGGAGGCCAAGTCCTGGGAACAGATCACTAGAGGTCAGGAGTTTTTGATGACCCAAACCTGAGCAAGAACGAGACCCCGAGTCCCTCACTCAAAACCAGAAAATTTGGCCAGG